CACAGACCTGTACTACATGCTGTCGTCTGTCCCCCTCTCCCCCATTCTAACCCTCCCCCTCCCACCAGGAGAAGACACAGACCCCACAGACTTGTACTACATGCTGGAGGCTCAGTCAGCCTTCCACACAGAACTCATGAAGGAGGCCTTCGCAGATCTACTTTCCTCCTAAACCTTAAGACACACCAGGAGCTGTGAGGTATAACATCTTCCTCCTTCCTCTGAACTGAAGGTTGTATGTCTTATGCCAAAAAACAGTTACTCAAGCAACTTTGGAAATGCTTAGACGTTTCAGGTAGCACCCACTACCTTTTGTCAGTGACACTGGAGAGTTGTCAGAAAAGCAGATTTATAAGGAGTGGATGCTACCTGAAACGTCTGACCGTTTCCAAAATCATGACTTGTCCAATTGCTTGAGTAGCTGTTTTTTTGGTGTATCTTATTACCAGGATGTCTAACATTCACTGACGTTGTATGTCTTAGTCTAAAAGTTCATTATAATACATGTGGAAGGCTCAGGTATCATTATTTATCAAAATGGTTTGTTACTTTCATTCTGTGGAACTCGTATCACAATCTCTGTTATGTTTTGATATTTATTGATGGTACAAAATATGCATTTTAAAATGTTGCAATCTTATGTTTTAAAGTTGGCAAAGAGCCCGTAATTTATTGAAAAAAATGCCAGTAGAGTATCTTTATAGATGTACAGATAACATACAAGTACAAAATTATTGGTTTTAAGAAATGAGATGCTAAAGTTGTCGGTTCAGTTGTACAAATATATTTCAAACCATTTGTTTGGCAATCAGTTTCAGTTTTCAGTTTATTGAGATGTGTAATTAAGGGGCTAATCTTTCAGGGCTCCTACACAAATTACATACAGAACGTACAGAAACAGACATTTACAATCACATTTATCATACACTGATACAGTATTAAAAAAAAAGAGATTCGAAAAATTACACATCGTGTAATCGAGGTTTCTAGAATATTGGTGTAGCCATATTTGTAGCTATTAATTTGCAAAAGGTTGCTACATCCTTGCGAAACCGTTACAACAATGGTTGGTTGTATATTGCTAGATTTTAATTTGCAAACTTTTGCCACATCCTTTCGAAACCTTTACAAAAATGATATTTGCAAAAAAAAGGTTTGCTACATCCTTGCGAAACCGTTGCAATGGTTGCCTGCATATTGCTAGATTTTAATTTGCAAAAGTTTGCCACATTGCTATAGAGGGCTGATAAGTTTGCCACATCCTTGCGAACCCGTTACAATGGTTGCCTGTAATAACCGCCTCCCCACGTCCCCGCCCGAAGGCACGTTGCCGAGCGCGGCGAAGTCTGAGTACTTCCCGGGGCCGCTAAGCCGCGTAAGCTCCTTATTCGGGCATGTATTTATCCCGTTAACTGCTTAACGGTGACCCAAAACGCGGGATAATCCCGCACACAACTCCCTGAAGGTTTAGTACGGCAGAACCCACTTAGAAACGACTCTGTATGAGAGATAGAGGGTTGCCAGTGTTAGAAATACCCATCTGCAGTCTGCATTTTGCAGATACATTTTCAATATTGCAGAACAAAAATTAAGCATCCTGCAATTTTGCAGCCTGAAAAAGTCAAGCTAGGGGTCAATGGTGTTAGCATAATGTTTTGTGAAAGATTTTGTGTTTTCTTTTAACGCAAGGCCTATACGACCACTTCTCGGCATTGAACTAGAAATATGAGAGAAACATGACTATGAACGTTTGATTTGAAGGCCTGTAGATTGTAGGTTGGTGGGAAACACTTGTCAGGGAGACAATTCCAAAGCTTGACCGTACGCACGGAGAAAGAAACTGTCACTGTAAGAAGATTTCGAACAAGGAATTTGGACGGTGAAGATGGGCGAGAATAAGTCTTTGATACAGTGAGTGGGAATAATCATGAGTTTCGGTACGTATCTTTACTTCAGAACAATTTAACAAGTAACTTGCGGCGTTGGACGATGGCAAATATGAATAAACATTTTAACACAATGTTTGTCCCCGAGACGCCCACAGAAGTAGAAGTGGCGTGAAAAAGTGAAGTAGGTAAGTAAAAATTTTTTAGACTCCGCGTACTAGTACTCGTATCTTTTGGGGGCGCGCCTGTGTTTTTTAATTATTGAATGAATGAACTTTGTTGCTTGGCAATTGTACAGAGTGTTAAGTTTTTTAAAAGTATTTTTGCTTTACGCATAAAACTTGTTTGCCATAAAGCAAATATTATTCCAACTTTGTGCATTGGAGTTTCTGAGGTGTGTCCAATGGCATAAATGCCAACACTTGCCAGTTCGGAAACGCGATCATTTCGTGTTTTGTAGCATTTTTGTCAACAGCTCGTGTTGGTGCAAGACTTGCCACATTCTAGCCGTAGCATTCCTCTCTGCGCTGACGAGCCAAGAGGAAAAATGCTACAAAACACGAAAAGGTTGTGTTTGTGTTGTATATTTGCAATAAACTTTCTATATTGACACCGGGCTTGCTACAATCTACCTGTAACATTTTTGCTCTACAGCTCGCATTGCTGCCAGGCTTGCTACATTCGCAGCGCTACATTCTACCCGTAACAACCCAAAACGCGACCTTTTCGTGTTTTGTAGCATTTTTCTTCTAATGATGATGCCCCAATTGTAGCATTCTTCTATACATGGGACTGGCAGCTTTACCGATGTCATGAAGTCCCATAAAAGCCAAGCTTGCTACATTCTACAACTACAGCTTGCTACATGCTACATTTTGCAACAACGCAAGCGCGCCGTTTTCGTGTTTTGTAGCATTTTTCCCCTCGGCTCGTCAGCTCAGCCAGGCGGACTGGTGAGCGCAGCCAGGCGCACTGGTGCGTGCGTTACCGCGTTAGACCCACCGAGCAGAAGGGATCGCAGGCAAACGCACCGCAGCGTGAAAACGCATCAGCGGCTCGCTGAGGGGAGAGGCGGGCTCGCAGACCTCATTAGGCGCGCAGTGGCTCCGCGTTACCGGCAGAACGGTAGCCTGGTATCCAGTCTTACGTGGTAAGGGCGGATTTTCCTCGGGGCTGTAGAAGCTCTTCCCCGCCCCTCATTCTTAGGTCACATTTCCAAACCGGGGCCCGGCCGGGCAGTTTGTATGAACGAAAGATTAACAATCCATATCAAGACTATATAGATATTAGCCTGGGTTCCATCCTGGTTAGTTTACGTCCGCTCCTACAGTCGCTACCACCAACTAACCAGTGTGGAACCCAGGCTATATAGATAGAGTGCCCATGATTATTATCAAAAACGTTTCTGTGTTTTGTTGTCTTTTATAGCTGCTTTTAAAGCTGCCCGACCGGGCCCCGGTTTGGAAATGTGACCTCATCATCAGCTAGGTTTCCCGGTGGGTGTTTCACGATTGGACTACGTGGTGGGGCAAATAAAAATCCCGAAGTATGCCTCGCTATTCGCGTAACACTACTACTGGGGCGGCCTGTTTCACTGGTCGGGGAAAGCTATTAGAGCCCCGAAGACACAGCCTGCCTGAACATTGTTACAGACTTGTACTACTAAGACAAAATTTACCCAGTCTGTTACACAGTACGATTCATTCCATGAATTATAATATCATGTCCAACTACCATATCTGCTTATGTAGGCCAATTTTTGTAATGGCTGACTTTATTCCATAAGCGAGAACATATCATCAATACATGACCATATGGTAACTCAAATACTGTTTAGATAGTAGTTTGTAGTAAGTAAAGTTTTGTAGTATTGTTGTATTACTGCCATACATTGTACCTTGTACGATTGCTGAGCAATAAAGTTCATTCTGAACACCCCAGTGAACACCCCAACTACTATGCCCCAACCACGTAAGGATACCAGGCTAGCAACGGGCCCGCGTTCCCTGGCAGAGCGGAGCCGAGCGCGCCGTAATTGGAACATAAAGCGGAAAATCACATCATCGCGGCGGGCTGGGTCGGAGAGGAGTACAAATAACCGGATACAAATTGAGAGCATGCTAGGAAACATTGATACACGCTGGAGTTATCCAACATGGAGGAGGGGGGGGGGGGTCTGTTGGAGCCTTTCAAATTATGACAACTTAAAATTAAAGCGCAACACTACATGTTTCCAAATTGTGGGAAGGAACATCCAAAAATAACGCCCTGTTGTAGCAATTCTCTCAATTAAGTTTTGTGGTGTTTCTCAATCTTCCGATGTACATACGAGTAGTACGCTAGATGTAGGTATCGTGATAGATCAAAAAGGTTGAAAGTAAACATAAAGCGGAAAATCACATCATTGCGGCGGGCTGGGTCGGAGAGGAGTACAAATAACCGGATACAAATTGAGAGCATGCTAGGAAACATTGATACACGCTGGAGTTATCCAACATGGAGGAGGGGGGGGGGTCTGTTGGAGCCTTTCAAATTATGACAACTTAAAATTAAAGCGCAACACTACATGTTTCCAAATTGTGGGAAGGAACATCCAAAAATAACGCCCTGTTGTAGCAATTCTCTCAATTAAGTTTTGTGGTGTTTCTCAATCTTCCGATGTACATACGAGTAGTACGCTAGATGTAGGTATCGTGATAGACCGAAAAGTTGGAAGTAAACATAAAGCGGAAAATCACATCATTGCGGCGGGCTGGGTCGGAGAGGAGTAAACATTGATACACACTGGAGTTATCCAACATGGAGGAAGGGGGGGGGGGTCTGTTGGAACTTTTCAAATTAGGATAACATGTCTCTAAATAGTGTGGAGAAACAACCAAAAATAGCGATCTATTCTAACATTCTCTCTCCCTCCCTCCCTCTCTCCCTCTCTCTCTCTCCCTCTCTTTCTCTCTCACACACACACACACACACCCTCTTTGTCTCTCACTCTCTCATTCTCTCTATATTAAGATTCCCTTGTTCATTCCAAGGTTCGCCCTTGATGATAAGTAAAAGTTTATTGCGAATACATGCCCGATGGCTAATTGCGGGTACAAATATAACAGCAACGTGCTATTGGACAGCCTTATCTGTAAGTGTTGGCAGATATTGGTATTGATGAATGCGTACAGTGGTAGGTAATTAATTTTGATTCTTCAATTCGTTTTGCATTACAGATGAGTTGTAGAATTTGAGCACATCCTCACCACGTCCTTCTCTATTACAACAACTGAAAGTATAGTGT